AAGAAACGTTTTATCTTAACACCACAAGAGCCAAGATTGAGAGGGCACCACTTGAAGAATGAAGCGATGCAACTGGGCTGATAGTTACTGTTAAAGTCTGCCATGCAGTTTTCTCACAAATGCTGTTAAAAATCAGCTGGAAGTTTAACAGACTCCTCCATGAAGCTCTAACTGCTCCATCTCAATCACAGAAGATTTATTTCCCAGTAAAGTTTCTTGTACAGGGTTAAAAACCACTTGTAATATCAGCTGCTCACCACATGCTGCAGAATGAATTCAGCAAGGTGCTTCGCAGCCCTGGGTGATGGACAACTCCTCATGCAGTCCTAGTTCACCAGCTCATTTCTCAGCTCACCCCATCCATTGGTTCCTTCAGAAACCACCAGGAACCTCAGGGCAGCTTGCGCTGTTCAAAAGGCGACTTCCAAGAAGAGGTCAACGTCATCAACAGCTGAAATGCAAAAGCTTTGTCGAGAGCTGCACGTGGCTCAGTGAAGCACATCAAGAGCTGCACAGACTTTCCAGCTTACAATGCGCAACGCGCGCTTTCCAGCTCAGCCAGTTTTCAGATGCACTGAAGCAGAAAAACGTCTTGAGAGCCCTGCCATATGCAGCTTTCTGCTTAACCTACGTGTAAAGGGGCTACTGCAGTCCACAAAGCACCTCCGGAGACACAGTTAAACTTTGTGGCTTTGTTTTCCCCTAGAGGGAAAGCATCTGCAGTGAAGAAGTTGCCATTTAAATAAGTATGTGTGTGTTTGTGAATAATCAAAATCAAACACAGCTACACGGTTGTGTTAGAAGAAGCAAAGTCAGCAGAGCCTGTCTTGGGCATGGGACAGTGCTTTCATGTCCCTTTAAACTGACTGTAAAAACAGAATGGAAGTCTGAACAGATCAACTGCTCTACCGTTCACTTCTTCGCTTTTCTGACATGCACTCACACTCCACCCAACCTTACGAGAGGTTTTCAGCGCTAAAGTCAAAACACGGCACAGAAAGCACTCGGGGTAATTCTGAACCACAGAAACAGCAGCAATTCAAACTACATACAGCAACAAGCCTGAACCATAGAAAGGTTTGTGTTGGAAGGGCCCTTTAAAGCTCATCTAGTCCAAGCACCCTGCAACAAGCAGGGTCATCTTCAACTGTATCAGTTTGCTCAGAGCCTCATCCAACCCGACCTTGAATATTTCCAGGGATGGGGCATCCACCACCTCCCTGGGCTACCTGTGCCAGTGTCTCATCACACTCACTGTAAAAGATTTCTTCCCTATATCCAGTCTGAGTCTACCCTCCTTTAGTTTTAAACCATCACCCTTTCTCCTAACACTACGTAGCCTACTAAAAAGTCACAACAGGTTGCTTAAGTTTGACTTGTCAGGTGGAGATGACTACTAGGGCCTCTACTAGTCCCTCTCAAAGTTCAGTCACTTCCATACATTAGGATGCTGCTTCCCATTTTCACTAACCAATCCCACCATCCTGGTGAAAAATGCACTGCAAGGCCAGCTGGTAAGTCCACAGAGACCAGGAAAGCACACACCATAGAGCAAATGATACTTCTTATGCTCTTTACCAGCAGTTTTCCATAGCGAAGAGACACTGCTTCTTTTACAGTCGGTCTGGCAAAGTCCTCTTCTGTGGTCCTGCCTCAGGACAAGCTGCTTGGACCAGCACACAATACACCACCAAGCTGCTAACAAAGCAGCTCCATCACTGTGCCACAAACAGCTCTGCTTTTTCAAGTAAACTTAAGGCACGATGAGCAAGAAGAACGCATGCAGCAGTGATGTGCAAGAGGAGATAAAGGGACACTGCTGCCACATTAGGCAGGATCAAGACATCTTCAAATGTCCAGCTGAAAACCAGGTTTCACTGTGCAGAGGGAGATACACAGCTCACTCCAACACAGCTCTCCTTGTCTGGCAGTATGAACTATCTGTAAGACCCAAGTCTATTCTGACACCTGCAGCACAAGTGCTGCTAAGCCTCATTCAGCTCAGAGCTGCCAAGACAGTTTCAGAAAGAGGAAGCTGGGACAGCGATAAATATTCTTACATGCCCTTTGTGGTGGGGTAGAAAACAAGTTTACGAGCTCAAAGGAAAGCTTTTCCCATTCACATTGGAGGAAAAGATCCTTTAACTCCCCAAATCTGCTTCAAAAGGTTTAAACAAACAGCAGCAACTACAGGGACTCAACCCCCAAATCACACCCAGCATCTGCAGCTGAGACGGCTGCAATGTGCCTTCTCCACTTTCACGAGTGAGCATCGAGGCAAAGCATTACAAATGACTTCAGATGGGATTGCACAATTATCCACACTCCTCCAAGTCCTCACCTCCCCAAGGGCTACTTCTTGCAGAGGAAACTGGATTGCCACACACACACACACATCTGCTTGGCTTCACTGCCTCTTCTTTCTAGTATTTGTGTCTCGGCCCTTGCAAGTATCCTTACAGCCAAAGCGCCTCCAAAGCCACCACAGGCACATGGGAAGGGCAACAACTCGTTGCCATTTGATTACCAAATGGGGTAAAGTTGCAATCACAGCAAGCCCCAAGACGTACTGGAACTAGGCTTTACTACAGCCTTAAAGACCTCCTTGCTGGAAAAGCAAGTGTTTGCAGGCTCAAATGAACTGTCATCACCATTGCTTATGGGAGTTGACGGCTAAAATAACCACACTAACCAGCTTTCCTGACTCCCTACCAAGGCTGGGCATCATTTACTTCTGGGACCTCTTTTCACAATGCATTTCATGTATCCCACAGCAATGGGAGCAACCACACCAGTCATCCCATTCAGACAATCATGCGACACTAACTTCCTCCTTTGCTGGGTTCTCCTGCCAGTTTGGCAGGAGAGACTCTTTCCACAGCCTCAAGAGACAGAACTACAAGGACACAAACTCTTCTGATAAAAACATATAATCTTATCCTTCCTGCAATAGGCTATACTTGGGACCCACACTGGCATGTGCACTCTGTGAGCACATCCTGTGCACACCCACATGCAAAACTCTGCAGAGCATCGTGTTACTCTGAGTTGGAGTTCCTGTAGATGTGAAAACATCTAGTGCTCTGAACCATATCTATGCAATTTGGAAACATTAACTGTTCAAATTCAGGTGCTCCTACAGCTGAGCTGGTACTTTAAAGTAGAAGGAACACAAAAAGCATTGGCTTGGGTTCAGATGGGAAATGAATTTCCATGCACTGACCTGTAACACCAAGCAAGCTGGCCTGCAACATCCCATTAAAGCAGAAGTGACAGACACACAAGCAGCAGAAATCCACTCCCAGGGATGTCACAGTACTGAAGGAAGAAGTACCCAAGAAGGGCTGACACTGACTCCAGTAACAGCAGTGTCCCAGGTTCTGTTTCAGCTGGGGCTGCCTGGCTTGATGATGGGCTCATGAAGATGCAGTCAAGGTTCCCAGATATCTATGAGTATCTATAAGATGGACACACATCACCACCAGCTCAAGAGGCTCCCATCCAAACAGGCCACATGAATAACCCAAAAGCTGCTTAAGTTAGTGTCTAATGTAAAGTCATTGGTAAGTCTGATACAACCAGTGTGGGTTAGAAGCGTGCACACAAACAGCCCCAACAGCAGACCTGAGAAACCCTCCCGACATGGGGAGCGAACAGGGCACAGATAAGAGGCAGTTGGGGTGAGTAAGGGACCACCAGCTCAGCTGCAGCCAGAGGAGGTGCTGCGGTTGAGATCCCAGGGCTGTAAACACATCTGCTTTTGGGGGCCCAGCCAGCAGTTTTGTTCACAGCTTTAGACACTGAGCTGATTCACAACGAAACCACAACAGGATCAGCTTTCAGTTTCTCCTCATTAACCATGAGGTGGTTGATGTTCAAGGAAGTATCAGCCCCTGCACCAGGGGGAGGTTAGCTTAGGGTTGATGATTTGCTAAGCAGGGGTTACACAGCCTTCATCCACAGGAGTATTCTGATATAATGAACTGATGTCCTTGATTTTACCAGACACCCCGTGGAGTTTATGGGACAATTAACCCATACGTGCACATCACTAAGGGGAACAGACACACACAACTAGTCCTTACTGTCACTACTTGGTGAAACACAAGCAGTGAAGTGTTCCAACTGGGCTACTCCAGCTGGAAACAGCTATCTGTTATCACAGGAAGAACTTGTCGCAGAATCCCCTGGCAGCTCGGCGTTAACCGCAGCACTTTGGCAGTGGTTTCCAGAAGGCAGAAAGGGGCAAATGAGCCTCAAAACGTGCAGCTACCGAGCCAGAAAACTTGGAAGTTTTAGTTCACCGTCACCACAGGGTTTTAAACAAGGAAACCAGATCGAGTTCTGGCACGTTATCCAGCTTGTGTTAAACCACTTAACCCTACAGAGAAGCAACACGTTGCTCTGAGGAAAACGCAGCTGCAGCACAAACCAGTAAAGTTTCCCAGGTCCTTCTCAGGTTTCAGGGTTCCCCACCTTCCCATTGCTCCTACCACCCCTCCACAGCAACCATATACCCCAGGAACCTCCTTCCCCAGCCTTTCAGCCCCCAAACTTCACAGTTAAAGCAAAGTTAAACCCCACATCACAGCCGGGCCACTACGGCTCTAATCAAGCAACGCCGCATCCAACACCCACCCTGGGGTATATTTTTGCTTCCTCCCTGTAAATCACCAGGTTACCCCATTAGCTCTCACGCTTCATTAAAATCTTCTGAGCGACTGAGCAATCGCTCATGCAAGCGGAGCCAATCTGAACAGATACAGCCGCAACTTGGCGGTGCTTCATTACCATCAGATTAAGGCTGGAAACAAGAGTTTGAAGCAGCAGCATCTGGCGCCCCAACCGCCTGCTCAGCGCCGCTAACAAACTCCCGCACTCCGCTTTAAGCCCCGTCATAGACAACGCAGAACTTGGTGTTTATCAGGAAACGGGTCCCGAGCACCCCGGCAGCGCCGGCTGAGAGGCACCCAGAGCCCCCTCCGCACCCCGGTACTCACGCATGAGGGTGCTGAAGGCGCACAGGGCCAGCAGCGCCTGCAGCAGGACCCCGAAGCGCCCCAGCAGAGCGCCGCTGCCGCAGCCGTGAGCGGGGCGCGGGGCCATGGAGGGAGCGCGGCGCGGAGGTGCGGGACCGCTCGGAACAGGGCAGGGCGAAACGGCCCCGCCGCGCACAAAGGCGGCCCCCGAGCAGCCACCGCCCCCCGGCCCGCCCCGGCCCGCCCCGGCGGAACGAACGGCCACACCCGGGAGCGGGCGGGACGGGGTGGGACTGGGATAGGGAATGGGGCTAATGAGGGAGCTTGTGACGGGGATGGAAATGAGGAGGGAGATGGGAAGGGGGATGGTGGTGATGACAGGGATGGAGAGGGAAATGGGGATAAGGAGGGAGAATGGGATGGGGACAGGGATCAGGATGGGGATAGAGAGGGAAATGGGGATGGGAGGTTGGGATCAGGATGGAGGTAGGTATGGAGAGGGAGATTGGGATAAGGAAAGGAGAATGAGATGGGGGTAGGGATCAGGATGGGGGTAGAGAGTGGAAATGGGGATGGGAGAATGGGATGGGTATAGGGATCAGCATGGGGATAGAGAGGAAAATGGGGATGGGAGATTGGGATCAGGATGGAGATAGGTATGGGGAGGGAGATGGGAATAAGGAGGGAGATTGTGATCAGGATGGAGATGAGGACAGGGAGGAGGATGGGGAGAGGAATACCAATTGAGATTCCAATAGAGAGGCAGATGGGAAATGGGAATAAGGAGGGAGACTGGGATCAAGATGGTGATGGGAATGGGGAGGGAGACAGGGGTGGGGAAGAGATGGACATGTGAAATAGGGTGGGGGTGGGGGTGGAGGTGGGAAAAGGGTGGGCATAGAGATGGGGATGGAGATGGGAACAGGGAGGGAGATGGAGAAAGGGACAGGGATGAGGAAGGAGATGGGGATGGGGATGGAGATGGGGGTGCAGGGGATTCAAGGCCTGTTTGGATGAGGCTTGGAGCAAGCTGCTCTAGTGGAAGGTGTCCGTGTCCATGGCAGGGGCTTGGAACTGGATGAGCTTTAAGGTCCCTTCCAACCCAAACCAGTTTGGGATTCTATGGAGATGTGGGGCCTGGTGCGACTGGGATGCCAGGCTGGGGCAGTCCTAGTGAGGATAGCTTCTATTTCTGTGGTCTGAAGTAAGATGGTCTGAGACCCTGACGCTGAGAGGTAGTTACAGAGCCAAAGAGACTGCAAATCTCATCATATCATCTGACTTGGAGCAGTGGCCTTGAACATTATGAGACCAGAAACTCATGGGAGCTGGCACTCTTCCAGAGCAAATCCAATTTACAAATCAGGATGAAACTGTGTTAAACGTGGGCTTGGGAATCCCCTGTCGTGGTGAGGACATTAGTGCCAGCAGTTTGGGCAGAGGTTAGCCCTGGTCAGACAAGCTACCTGGAGGTTTGTCCTTCCTCCTGATCCTGCTTGCCCTGAGTTTCCCCAGCCCTTCAGCTGAGCCAGCACATCCCCAGGTACCAACCTACTGGCTCCACATCACTGAAATAACCCCCATCAGGAGGATTTGGGCTGAGAGATGCTCATTTATCTCCCCAACTTTAATCATGAGTTCAGTCAGCAGGATGGAAGTTTCATCTTCCTAACTCATTTTCAGCTGATTTTATATGTGTAATTGTTAGTTTCATTCCCCTGAGTTGCCAAATCTGATTGTGTTGCAATCAGTCACCTTTATATTGAATTCTAAATCAAATATTAAAGTGGATATCCTTATATAAGCCAGCTGAACACAGTATATGTGGAGCCATCTAGTAAGCAAATGCGTATCTTCACACAAATTTAGTCAGACACTTTACATTTGCTGCTAAAGAACCATTTGCAAGAATTGGTTGCTGGATGGTGATCTGGGAATTACCTCGGACTCTATTTGCCCAGGTATGGCACAGCAATTGATGAGCACACAGGAAATAAAAGACATTGAAACCAGATTGGTATTTCTTAAACCTATTGCATTTCCTATGAATAACCTGGAAATCACCCGCAAGAGAAGGCATATACAATGCATCAGTGGGCTGTAGAAGGGGACAGTGTTGCTAAGGCTCTCTCCAAACCAGTGCTGCCTCCTCCCTTTCCTTGCTAGCCCAGTTAACAGTGATTTCTCCCAGCTGCTGCGTTCAGCAGTGCAAAGCTGTCTGAGGCCTTGTTTTCATGTGCTGATGTGTTTACAAGGGAGCACAGTGCCTCCCATGTGTGAAAACACTCAGGCTATAAGAAGGCAATAAAGAGAAGCCCTCCTGATCTCAGCCCTCACTGCAGGAGGAGGCAGAGATCCTTTAGTGGCTGTTGCTGCCCCACACTCCACTGTGAAACCACAGCTTTGCTTTATCAAAAGCATGACTTGCACTGCAAAATACCTGGAGTTTCTGAACCCATGCAAAAAGCCCTTAGGGCTCCTCTGTATCCTAGGGGGAGTCTGGGAGCTTGCTCTGGTTACCAAATCCTCCTGTATTATTTTGGTGACGAAGATGCTCCACAGATGTCTCCCTTCCTTTTTTCCCCAAGGTTTTCCATCTCTCCTGCATATTAAAAAAGGAGATGTGTAAGAAAGCACTCTTTACACCTGGCACCATTCCCAAAGCGTGTGCCTGCCTGGCTGTGACCAGCACACACTACAGTCATTAGGACAGCTGCACCCAAACAGGGAGTTGGTACCCTCAGCTCAACTGATTATTTTCTTTAGGGAAATTTTCCTTTGGGGATGTGGAGTTTATCCTGAGTGGATGTAAAGCTGTTTTCCCAGCATGAAAGTCCACATTCAATGTGCTCAGGGTAATGCCCTCTGAAGCTAGGCAATGGCCAGACTTCCCAGCCCATCTCAGCAGTAAGAGTTGGCATTAATGACAGAAAAGAGAACATAAGGGCTGCGATCCTTTTCTTTTCCCTTAACTTTGGTAGGGCAAAGGTCTGGAGAGGCTCACAATACAATGGTCAGTTGATGCTGATTTGCTTCAATCTATCCATTCATCTTTGTGAGCTTCCAGAAACAGAGGTGAGAAATATCAATCACAAACCAGAAAAGTGAGAAAAAACAAACCAAGCGAGCAGTTATGCAAGAAATTCCCTCAGAAATAGAAATTAAATCATTAAAGAAGAAAAAAGACCCAGAAAAGCTGAATTTAAATATTAGACCATGGGTGCAAACATGAAATAAGAAAAGCCAAGACACTGAAGTGGTTTCAAGTAACAAGGGATGGAAAAAGTCAATCCAGGCAATTCTGTACATGCATGAAAGCCAGAGGAAAATGAAAGATGGAATGAATCCATGAATTCTCAGCTAGTGAAAAACAAATAATGGAAACCACAGAAAATACTTCAATTTTTTTTAACCCTTAAGAAAAGGATTAGAAGCAGAACAGATTTAAATCAGTGGGAGGAGAAACAGTGCAGGACAAGAACAGGTTAAAAGACAAGAGGAAGCAAGTCTAGTGCATTCAAGGGCCGGATGAAACCGCTGTGAGAGTAGCTGTGAAGCCCGCAGAGTAAAGCCTGGCTCCTCAGGGGTTCATTATCACAGGGGACTTGGTGAGGAGGTTTCAGAGGACTGGAGAAGGGCAAATACGGTGAGAAGGGAAATGAGACTCTGTGGAACCAGAGACCAGCAGCTTTATTCCAGCAGCCAGGAAGATGCTATTAAAAATTAGCAAAGAATCAATTTTTAAGACTTACTATTTATAAAACTCCTCTTTGGGAGGCCAGGTCTACTGGGGGCTGGTGGAGCTGCTCCAGCAGTTTTGGTAGGAGGCTTGCCAGGCAGGTCAGGGAGGCTTTAAAGTAGATGTGCTGGGGGAGGGGGGCATCATTCCATCCCAACACACCCAGTCAGTTGCCAGCACCTATAATAAATGCTTGGAGCAATGTAGAGAGATTCCAGCAGCCCCAGCCAATGAGCTGGCTTCATGTGGAGCTCGGCTCAGACGCCTCCATACGAACGCCCGTACCATGGTGAACAAACAAGAGGAATTAGAGATGTGTGCATGTCTATGGGGTATGATATAAGGGGCATCACAGAAACATGGTGGGAAGGCTCCTATGACTGGAGTGTTGGAATAGAAGGTTACAGACTCTTTAGAAAAGACAGGCCTGGCAGGCGCGAAGGGGGAGTTGCCCTTTATGTTAGGGATAGGCTGGAGAGTATGGAAGTGTCTGGGGACAGGTGAGCAGTTAACAGAGAGTTTGTGGGTCAGGGTTAAAGGGAGAACAGCAATGGGAGACATGACTGTGGGGATCTGTAACACACCGCCTGATCAGGGACACTCTGTGGACGAAGCGCTCTATAGACAGATAGGAACAGCTTCACGCTCGCAGGCCCTTGTCCTCATGGGGGACTTGAACCACCCTGACATCTGTTGGAACGATGGTGCGGCCCGGCACAAGCAAGCCAGGAGGTTCCTCGATCGTGTGGAAGACAACTTCCTTCTGCAAGTAATAGAGGAGCTGACCAAGGAGAGGTGCCATGCTTGACCTCCTGCTCACCAACAGGGAAGGGCTCGTTGGAAATGTGATACTCCAGGGCAGCCTTGAATGCAGCGATCATGAGATGGTTGAGTTCGGGATCCTCAGGACAGTGAGAAGAGCGTGCAGCAAGCTCACTGCCCTGGACTTTACTGTCCCACACGACATCCTTGTCTCTAAATTGGAGAGACATCAATTTGATGAATGGACCACTCAGTGGATAAAGAACTGGCTGGATGGCCGCACACAAAGAGTTGTGGTCAATGGCTCAATGTCCGGCTGGAGACCAGTAATGAGTGGTGTCCCTCAGGGATCGGTGTTGGGACCGGTCTTGTTCAACATCTCTGTCACTGACATGGACAGTGGGATTGAGTGCGCCCCCAGCAAGTTTGCTGATGACACCAAGCTGTGTGGTTCGGTTGATCCGCTGGAGGGAAGGAATGCCATCCAGAGGGACCTTGACACGCTTGTGAGGTGGCCTAATGCCAACCTCATGAAGTTTAACCATGCCAAGTGCAAGGTCCTACACCTGGGTCGGAGCAATCGCAGACACAGCTACAGGCTGGGCAGAGAAGAGATTCAGAGCAGCCCAAGGAGAAGGACTTGGGGGTGCTGGTCGATGAGAAAAT